CTTTTCCTCAGAAATATCTGCAACCCAGAGTTACAAATCAGGCAGGTTGCCAGAGCACATTGAGGATTTAAAATAGTTAAAATACAAAGATAACTATCAGCAGCCAAGTTTGTTGTTGTTAGTTGTGAAGTCATGTCCGACCTGTCGCGACCCCATGGACAACGTTCCTCCAGGCCTTCCTATCCTCTACCATCCTCTGGAGTCCATTTAAGCTTAAGCCAAGTTACTCTTGCTCATAAAGTGAAACCCTTTAGCAGAGGGGTCATTTAAGCTCTCCAGAAATTGGGTGGGCATATTTGGGCTACAATATGCTGAGCTAAAGAGATAAATTAACAAATTTAACATCTTGAGTGAGGGCTAATCCCATTCTGCCTTTGTTCAGACCTTGCTGCAGGGAATTTTGCAGGTGTTGGTTACCAACTTTAGAGCGCTCCATGGTTTAGGACCTGGGTACTTACAAGATCGCCTTCTGCTACCGATAGCCTCCCACCGGCCACTATGCTCCCACAGAGAGGGACTCCTCAGGATACCGTCGGTCAAACAATGTCGACTGGCGACCCCCAGGGGGAGAGCCTTCTCTGTGGGGGCACCCGCCCTCTGGAATGAATTGCCCCCGGAGATATGGATGATCCCTGACCTACGCACCTTTCGCCTTGCCCTCAAGATGTTATTGTTCCAACAGGCTGGGCTGGCCTAAACATTAATTTTAATGGGTTGCTTTTGTTTTTTAATGATGTCGGGGCCAAATTATTTAATATGTTTTTAAATTGCTTTTAAATTTTATATATGTGTTTGTTTTATTTTTGGCTGTGCACCGCCCTGAGTCCTTCAGGAGAAGGACGGAATAAAAATTAGATTAAATAAATAAAATAAATAAATAATTTTTTGCCTATGAATATAGCTATCTATCTCTTTATCTCTTAAGTGCTGACATCTTCTGTGGGCTATTAAGGAAGGTTGGGGCTGCTTTCTCCCTCTAAGAAAACATGTTTCTCCATTTCTCATTCAGGGAAATATATTCTTCCTTTTTAATATTTCTCAAAATATTTCATTCTTCTAGGAGAGGGGTGGGTGCTAACTTTCTACAATTGGTGCCATGTTACTATGCCATATTATCATGAGAGAAAATTAAAATAAATTGGAAGAAGGATCCACTTATTATCTGTGAGCAATCATGTGCCTTGCCCACTCCGAAGCAATGCAAGAGACTCCTGTCCCAAAGGTGCTTTTTCAAGAGGCAACTGGACTTTCTGGACACCAAGAAAATTCAGTTGCCTCTTGAAAAAAAGCACCTTTGGGACAACCATGACCTGGATGACTGAAGAATCTCCATAGACAAGAGACTTCTGTGCTCAGTGAACTGACAAAGCACAGTTTCATTAGATCCATTTGCACCACTTAAAGATATCAGCTGGTCTCACTCACCTCATAAGATATCCTAAGGTAATCATCCAGGTTTAAGGAAAGATCACATGCCCCCAGAAGGCAGTAAAAAAATCAGACAGAATGCCAAACTTACATTCTGCCTTTCAGCCATTTCTTCTATGGCTATGCCAACCCTTCTGTAAATAGCTGTTCAAGCCCCAGGAATGAAAGTACCACAAAAAACTCCGGGGACAGAGGTGGGGGGGGGACTCCGGAGAATCTCAGCTACAGATAGAAAGTCTGGGCAGTTTCTGACAACATTTCAAGCTGCAGGGGCGACAATTAAGATAAGGATTTGGCTACAAATACAGGCACACTAGAATTTTTCCTTCCTGCGTTCCTTGCAAGATTAGCCCTGTAAAATGGGAAAAGATTTCTTCCCACAACCGGTGCGAACCGGTAGCAGCCCACCTCTGTTTGTATGCCATTTTAAATAAACCTGGGATTTTCAGAACTATACTTTCTACTCTTAATCTGAATGATCCCAAAATAGAATCTGACCATACTGCAAGTGGTGAATCCAGCAGAGATCATAATTTATGTGGAGATCTTTGTGGAGACCAGGAAATATGATCCACCTGCCCTATTCTGTGCTGGGCTAAACTACACTCCAGTCCCTCCTGCAATTGATATTTAATAATGTGTAGTTTCTTTGCCTCCCTTGGCTTAGCACTCATTGCCACTCTTCTCTCATCTCCTACCTCTATCTCTCTATATTTTGCATTATATCTGTCCATGTAATGCAACTTGTCCATCTGTTTCCATCCACAGTGCAACTACTAAGCTCCCAGCTGTCTCCCTGAGAAAGCAGTTCGCCTGAAGAATTTTGTAATCATAACAACCTGTAGTATGAAATTCTCAGCTTATACCTGCAATGTTTTTTTTCAGTCTTTCTCAATTTAGGCTGCAATCTGACTTAAAAGTTAAAAGCTATGGGAGATATTGCTGAAAACTCATTCTCAACCATCAGAGAAGAACAATATTCATTTGTTCATGGAATATTCATTGCAGACCACCGCAGAAAACTTAAGAACTTTTTTGTGCAGTCAGATTTGACCAAACCCACAACGACTACACAGAAGCATCTCTTGTATAGTAAGCCAAACATAGTACAGTGTTTCCATGATGGGAAAAAAAGTACACTTACCAGTCATGACTTATGAAGTTATTTTCATTTGTTTTTACAAAGCCTAGTTTGGACTACTTTGAAAACAAATAGTTCTAAATGTAAGAACTATAAGGTAAGGAATGATGTCTAGTAACTATGTATAACTTTTTAAAATGAGATGCTGCAAGAATTTAGGTGATAAGCTATTAGCTCTATAAGGTAGATCAGACTAAAAAATAGACACCACATAGACCTAAAGCTACTTTTATTAGAATAGTTGTCGTTAACACAATCTTACAAGTCTGAATGTGCTTCCCTTCCTCCCATTAATCTTGTATCATCTTTTATCCTCACATGAACTGGAAGTGACCAGGGGTGGGGAGAAACGCCTGCCTGAGGCATTTTTGTAAACCCACTTTTTTGGCTTGGGCTCATTTATCTGATTGTTGCTTTGGTAACAGATCTTCCCAGTGTCCTTCAAATCAATGCTCTATATTAATTACATAACTTGTACAGACGTTTGGGCAAAAATGGTTTCAAGTGCCTGTAATATTTTAAAGATGGGTTAGTAATATGGTATCCATAACAATCCCATAAATTAAAATATTTTTTAAAAATCTTACAACTTACTTACATTTTTACCAAAATCTGGTGGTCTAATGTGAGATTTAAAGTTTGGCCTTTTCTTTTGCCTCCACCTCACAACTCATATAGTAAAGATCAAGTAAATTAATAGTAATGTACAAATAGATATTTAATTTGTACCTTCAAAAATTCATGCTCTTAATCTCTCTCTCTCACACACCAATCTTCTACTAACAATAGAAAATAAGTAATAAAATTAAATTACACCAGAGCTGTAACCAGTCATAATTTCAAGCCTATTAGATACACAAGCTACTGGCAGTGTGGCTGTTTGCTTTCTACCTACAGGTCAGGCACACAATAGAACGAGAGGTAAATTGTCCACATCATCACATTAAAGTCCTTCCAGGCAAAAGCAAACCAATGACTCAGCAGGCCACCTATTAGAGCAATTGAAGCAACATTACAACTTCTGGCGAAGGGCACCAGGTTGAGGAAAGAAAGTTGTAAACAGTCTTTTGTCTCCCCAGTTGAACCAACTTTCCAATTAAGTTAACTGGGAAATTGGTCCATGTGAGTTTATTATGTTGAGGCAACTTTCTGTAACCCTCTGAGGCCCCCAGCTGGTTATATCAGCGGCTCTGTGCCTTTTCTGTCATTGCCACTATTAGCCTGCTTAGCTTGCTTTTGAAGAGAAGTGGAAGCATGGCTGATGCATGCAAAATTTGGGTGTGATAATACTTTATGCCTGATTGCTGCTTGAATTGGAATTTATCAGTTAAATTGAATTTTAACTTCCATAATCAGTATGGTCTATGTTCCAGACTGAGCAGTAGTCTATGGGCTGGACTAGAAGACTTCCAAGGTTCCTTGGAGCAGTATTCTGAATTTCTGATTGATTAATTGATTGTTTGCCTGACTCTTAGAATTCGTCACCAAAGTGAAGTCCACACATCTCGAAGCTGCTCATGTTGGGAGACACCCATCTATAGGAATTGTAACACATCTCAAAAACATCAGGTTGGAGATAAATAGTCTACATGCCTAGTTCCTAGTTGAGGAAACTTGCTACTTTAATTATATTGTGACTGATGGGATTTGTTGAATTTGAAATCTCTAAATATGGTTTTTATGTTACATTATAGAAAGACATAGATATGTCCATTTATCTTGATTTAAAGCTGATTAATATGAATTCATACAATTTATGGGTTTCAACCTATAAAACCTTTTATATCTCTGCTACCTTTGGATTACCTGTAGGATCACATCTGTTAGTACCGTTGACCCAACCATTTTGATTGTGCCTGGACCTTCACCTGTCTCCAATATTATCTACTTTCTGGAGAAAAAAAATGAAGACAGAGCTATTCTGGGGGAGGGCTGGGCTTGGGGTCTGATAGCGTGTATTGTTTTTAATGTTTGCATGCATTTATAAGCTATTTCATTTGGCTCTGTTTCTTGCTCTGAGTGGTGTCTTTATGGGATCGGTCACTGAGATATCAGTCTGATTAATAAACCAACTGCTGAACAGTTCTTGTTGCTACTCCAATTGAAACCTATTTTGGCACCCAGTGCAGAATATAGGGAGATATGCTTTGATAATGTGAGCAAAAGCTATCCAGCATACCAAAGTAGTGGGAAATTCCAAACGGACTTTAATATGTATATAATATTATATATGAAATGTGTACTTGTACCAAGTTAATTCAGGTGGCTTTGTTTGAATCAAAGTTGAAAATGGTAAATGGATGCCTGGAATATATTTATTGGAAGAATAAATGCCTTTTCCCTCTAGCATCTCTATTCTCAAACACATTTTGTTTCTTTCCTATGTCTTCCATTTCCTTTTGATGCTGGCTGTACAGACTGGACCAAAAATATGCTGAATGGCACCTCCACCCCGAAATTTGTGCTGCTCGGCTTTCCTGAGCTTCAGGAGTTCCCATTACTCTCCTTTGTCATTCTCCTCTCCATCTATCTCTTCATACTCCTTGGCAATGCCTTGATCATTGTCCTCTCCCATATAGATGTGAGCTTGCGATTCCCCATGTACTTCTTCCTGAGGCATTTCTCGTTCCTTGAGATGTGTTATACCTCAGTTACTCTTCCCCAACTGCTGGGAAATGTCCTCAGGGCATCCTGTGCCATCTCCTTCTGGACCTGCCTTACTCAGATGTATTTCTTCTTTTTCTTTGGTTCCACAGAGTTCCTTCTCTTGGCTACCATGGCCTATGATAGGTATTTAGCCATCTGTCACCCACTGCAATATCCAGTTCTCATGGACAGCCATGCTTGTGCCTGCCTTGCCTTGGGTTCCTGGCTGATTGGATTTTTGACCCCCTTCCTGCCCATAGCCTTCATTTCACAGCTGCCATTTAACAGCAGCAACCAGATCAACCATTTCTTCTGTGACACAGGGCCCTTGATTAAGCTCTCGACTGGAAATACTTTCATGGCGGACACAATAGTATTCCTGGTCGCTGGGGTAATTGTCCTCCTATCTTTCCTTCTGACATTGACTTCATATACGCTGATTGTTTCAACCATCTGCCATATCCCTTCTGTGTCAGGAAGGCATAAGGCCTTTTCTACCTGTTCCAGTCACCTCATGGTGGTTACAATCTTCTATGGGACAGTAATCTTCACATATCTGTGCCCTCATTCTGATCAGACTTTTGAAATGGACAAAGTTGTCTCTTTGCTCTATGCTGTTGTCACTCCAGTGTTGAATCCAATTATCTACACCCTGAGAAACAAAGATGTGAAAAGAGCTGTGGAAAAGATCCTCTACCATATAAAGAACAAGCAAAGAAAAATATCATAAATCTCACCAGACAAAATTGACAAGCTGAGGGAAGGTTGCAGTAAATAAACATCTTTTTGAACAGAAGACTCTCACATGTGCTTTTATCTGACAATAAAGTGACATTCTTGAGTCCTTGTAAACATTAGTTTATATATGTTTATGCTGCATATTAGCACATGACATACACTGAGGAATTGTCTTCAAACCTGTATTATTGTTGGACATGTTTTTTGTTGTAACAAGTAACCCCCCCCCAAAAAAGCCAAAGTCAAACAAGGAAGAGATTGTTTTTTTCTTGAAACAGAAAATAAAATATGTTTTCTAATACATTTGTACAGCAGTGACTCTTCACCCACATTAGCTCAATACATCATTTGGGCATACTAAATCTACAACAAAGAACAATCCAGTCTTTGGAATACTAAGAAGGGTGGAGTGAATTCCTAAGTTCATACTATATAAATACAAAAGTAATCTTATCCATGGTGAGCCTTGAGCAGAATTTAGAGATAGATGTCCATTTCCTGATCAACAGAATAATTATAGCTGTTTCTAGGTGGACCTTTTATCACATGCTTGTGGCATGTGCCTGCTATAAATGGCTGTAAATAAGAGTGTCTTTCATTGTCATAAATTGGACATCTATGGCATACTAGACTGGAGGAAAACTGAAATTTTGAAATGGAATGTCACTCATTTGACAAGAACATTGGCACTGAAGAGCCTTGGTGGCGCAGCAGACTAAAGTGCTGTTAATTAGCACCAGCTGCCTGCAATTATTGCAAGTTCGAATCTCACCAGGCTCAAGGTTGACTCAGCCTTCCATCCTTTCGAGGTAGGTAAAATGAGGACCTGGATTGTGGGGGCAATAAGCGGTGTTCTTTTTTGTATAAAAAAGAACACCGCTTAGGGGGGACCGAAAGCCCTACTAAGCAGGTATACACAAAAGTATGAAGGCTATTGCTTAACGCATTGTAAGCTGCCCTGAGTCTCCGGAGAAGGGCAGCATATAAATTGAACCAATAAATAAATAAATAAATAAATAAATAAATAAATAAATAAATAAATTTCAAAAGCAGAGTGGGCAGGTACTGTTGCATTTGGAAAGGTGTCATAATTGAAGAAATGTTAAGAAGAAAGAGAAACTGAAGTGGGCCAAACAAAACTGTCTACGCCTTTTCTCACAACCTGTATTCTGAGGGAGGAATAACACAGGAGTCCTTTAGTTGAATTACTTGACAAGAGTGAACTGAGAGATACATTGCAACAAACAGCACAGAATAGTTAGTAGAGGGTTTTGACGATTGGGAAGACGTGGATTAAAGTTTCCCTTTGCCATGAAGCTCACTGGACTGGCTTTGGGACTAGTTGTCCTGTCTCACCCTGACATATTACGCAGCACTATTGTGGGAATAAAATTAAGAGGCAAAATTCTGGAAGGAAAACAGCAATTCAGTTATTAAGTAAGGCAGTTACTAAGTGAAACTGGAACTGTGCTTATTACTTTAGCTTTCCTTTGTTCTACAAACCTACAAAGATCGTAAATGCGAAGATAAGTTACAAGATACTTTTTCATCACTGCTCTAAGCGTGAAGGCAGTCATTAAACAAGAATTACTGTAAATGGTATATTTATCAATTGCAATCTGCAGTTTGGGGCAAATGCAGGAGGCTGTTCCCTATTATAACATAAGGAAGATATTGTGAGTAGACAACACCCCCCTCTCTATTTCAAGGAGGAAGGCAGATGCTCTTGCACTGAGCACCAATTTCTACATAATAAACTATGGAAAAACATATTCCACTTTTCCAAAGTGGCTTAGAAGGAAACAAATATGCATATTTATTATTATTTGTTTGTTTATTAATAAAATATATACAGCTGTCCATCTCATCAAATGCAATTCTGGGCTGCACACAACAGTTGGATGCAGTACTGAAGTAGATATAAAAACAACAGATATAAAAAAGATATAAATCTATATTAATAAATTAAAAAATAAATATACAAACCTAAGCGAAGGAGAATAAGAATGACTACCTCAACAAGGGATCATCTAAGCATATCTATATATGTATACGCACACACATACATATGCATACACACAATATTTGCACTATCGTTTTGCATTTTTTGGGTGGTTGGAGACTTTAAGAGATAAAATGGGAGCTGTAAGCCTTCTAAGGGTTTATAGTGTCCATTTGATCCCTGAAACCGCTTTACAAAAAGGACCCTTGCACTTATGCACTTGACATGGGGCACAAAGTCTGATATGTGGCTCCTGAATTAATGACTGGTACACATCTATGGTCTAGAGTAATGGTAAAGGATTCCTTCCAGGAATGAAAGACATGCATAGGTAACTAGCGAAAGATTTAGTCATGCAAATTTCTATTCTCTTGCCATCTTCTCTACCCCTCCCCCCATTAATTATACAACATTGGGGAACTTGTTAACTTAAATAAAACAAGTTTTTTTCCCCCTTTTTCTATTTCTTTAGAGATTTGTCTCTGTTCTGGCTCTAAATCACAACTCTATAATTATCTTGTTGATTTAATATTTCTAATGCATTTATTCATCATTGTAGTTATCAAAGTCAGTGAAGCTCATAAAGAAAAACTAGGAATATCATATGAATACAAATTCAATCTTGTTCAACTTGATATACTGTATTTTCAGGTATCCAGGGCTACAGTTTTTCTAGCATCCTAGAGCATTTCCACACAGCTATATATCTCACTCCTCACACAATCTTCTCTAATTTCACACCAACTGTGGTATGGCCTAGTCCAGAGAAGTTATATGGCTGTTTCTGGCCTCTGGAGGGCCTGGGATGGGTGGGGAAGGCCCATTTTTTGCTCCCCCCAGGCTTCAGAGGCTTTCTAGGAGCCTGGGGAGGGCAAAAACGGCCTTCCCCACCCCCCGGAGGCCCTCTAGAGGCCGGAAATGGCCCATTTGCCAACTTCCGGTAGGACCGGTAGGCCCATTTTTTGCTCTCCCCATGCTCCAGAGCCTTTCTAGGAGCCTGGGGAAAGCAAAAAACAGGCCTTCTGGTCCCACTGGAAGTCGGCAAAGAGGCTGTTTCTGGTCTCCAGAGGGTCTCCAGAGGGGTGGGGAAGGCTGTTTTCGCCCTCCCCAGGTTCCTAGAAAGCCTCTGGAGCCTGGGGAAGGCGGAAAAGGGGCCTACCGGGCCCACCATGCCATCATATGCCAAAAGCGGGGGAAGCACAGGGGAGGGTCGTACACGCATGCACGGGCGGCGGGGCGCATAGAATTATGGGTGTAGGCATGCGCATGCGACCCTCCACTCTCCCCCTGCTTTTGGCATGCAATGGCAAAAAGGTTAGCCATCACTGGTTCAGAGTATTGTTTTCTGCTTATTTATTGAAATAGTATTACTATTAGTAGTAGTATTAACAACCCAGTTTCACATAAGAGGAGCTGTGTAACAACATTATTCAGATGAATATAAATGCACTGCAGCAACTCAGAACACCAAAAAGAGGAAACAGATTACCTATACAACATATTCTAACAAAATGAATACCCATACTATTTTGTCAAACTTTTCTGACCATGTAACCCACTATAGCTCAACCAACATAAACCATGAAAAGTATAATACTGCCATTCATCAAGCACATGTGAGAAACTACCAACAGACTGTTACAACCACCTGGCATCACTGTACCACACAACCAACTAAAGCTAAACAGGAGTCATCTACAACATACAGTGTAAGAACTGTAACAGTCGCTATGTAGGACAGATAGGCAGAAATGCATCCATGAGCACCAACTAGTTGCCAGAAGACATGATGAAAACTCCTTAATCTTGCAACACCTTGGACAGACTCCATTTACTAGAAAATTATGACCATCCTAGACCAATACAAAACACTAGGGAATTCTGGGAAGCTTAGCATTCAGACAAATCAGCCAACAACAACACATAGAGATAAACCAGAATAATGGAATAAGAGAGTTGGAAGGAACCTTGGAAGTTTTCTAGTTCAGGGCCATATACCATTTCAGACAAATGGTTGTCCAATCTCTTCTTTAAAACCTCCAGTATTGGAGCATCCACAACTTCTGGAATTAAGTCGTTCCACTGATTAATTGTTCTAACTGACAGGAAATTCCTCCTTAGTTCTAGGTTGGATCTCTCCTTGGTTAGTTTCCATCCATTGCTTCTTGTCCTGCTTTCAGGTGCTTTGGAGAATACGTTGATCCCCTCTTCTTTGTGGCAGCCCCTTAGATATTGGAACAACACAGCTACCATATTTACCAGTATGTACCATTCAAAAGAGACTTTTTTCCTTTCTAACAATCAAGACCCAGATAATCAGGGATTAACACTAGACAAACAATCAAGCAGAAAACAATACTCTAATCAAGGAACTATCAAGGAGAAAAGCCACACTTCCACCAACACTGGCAGGGCAAGCTACTGTATATAAATAGAGAGCAAAGCCCACACTCACTAGCACTGCTGATGTTACCTAGTTGGGTAATGAAATGTCTGCAAGTAAACAACCAAACTTAGAGATTCCATATATATTATAAACTCATCTTGGAAAAGGAGGCATCTTCACCTCCTTAAAGGAACTATGGCATACCTGCTCCTTAAGAGGCCTCTCTAAACTCACCAATTTTGGAGAATGATTATCAAATCTTGAAACTTCTCTTTTTGAGAAGATTGTTAAAAGGGTGGGGAATTGATTCACAATTGAAGAAGTAGATTATCTGAATCCTACTACATTTGGAGGATAACAGATTGAGAAATTTTGGTTAAGATGTTCTACCTGCTTTGTGTATATAAGGCTGGCAGTGTTTTAATATATACAGACTTTTCCATCTGAAAGTTTGCTATCTTGCTCTACAAGTACACTTGTAAAAATGTAATGTTTTTTAGATTTTTCTTTTATTCTGTACCTTGGACCATATCTAATTAAAAAAACAGTTCTATAAAAACATGTTCCCTATAGCAGGGGGCAGCATCTAATAGTCTTGGCTGACCTTAACTAAAGCTAAGTAAGATTAGATCTGGATAGTACCTTAATGGGAGGCCAAGGGATCACTCAAAATTCTAGGTTAGACTGGAAAGTCTCAGAAGAAGGCAGCGTTGAACTATTTTTATATTGTTGACAAGAAAAGTACAGATGTGATTGCAGAAAATGTATGTAATCAGATGTGATTACATAGTAACTTTACCATGTAGAAAATATCCCAGGTTTGTTTCCTGGCATCTCTTGTCTTATAGCAAGTATCACCCTAAAATAGGGCTAACAGTAATCTGGAAAGTTGTTGCAAGCCTAGGGACTATTGGCTAAGATGAGGAGTATGGCTCTTGACCTAAAAAAGAGAACTGTGCACCCTGCCTTAGATATACCTATGGTCCCACCAAGTAAAATATAGCTTTCTATGCTCATGTCAACATCTCAATCAGTTCTTTGAAGTTAAGATCTGACTACATTGAATTTAGTTTTCTATATGCAATAACGAAGTATTCTGCAATAGCATTAGTGACTGACACTAAAAATTATGCCCTCTATGTATTTACTGTTTTGTATTTTGACCATTATTTGAAAATAAAATCTACAGTATAGGCTGTCTGTTGTATGTGTGTCTCCTCTGCATGCCCTGATGTTCCCTAGCTACTCATTAGATAATTCCTGGTGTCTCTTAGAGACCCCATTCCCTGATCAGGATCATAGGGAGGCTTTGCAGCAATCATATATTTTTGTCTTTATTTCTTAAACTTACACACACACACACACACACACACACACACACACACACACACAAGTTCTGTGTCTCCTTTTGGTCCACAACCACCGGTTAGTTGTATTCAAAGGCAAAGATGTGGCTGAAGGAGGATGAATCGTGCCAAGCTGCGTCCCTGAAATCCCCTCTTAGAGAATAGCAACGGAAGCAGACTTCAGGAACCATCTCTCGGAAGTGTGAGTAGTGAATATGGCTATCCTAGAATATGTTTCTCCAACCAATAATGGGGACTTCTGGAGCCCACCGAGCTACAGAAGACTGGTACAGAAGGATGACTAACTGTTAGTGCCTATTTTGTTTTAGGTTTTTGTTTCTATGTCCCGGTGCCAGTTTTATGGCTACCAGGAAATAACTAATAAGTAATGGCTCACCTGGAAGTTTTGCAAGATATGTATCATTTATTTATTAAACCAATTTATATAATCATCCATCTCACAAACAAGTGACTCTGGGTGGTGTTCAATAGAGCTAAAAACAGTGAATCAATACATTAAAAAGTATAAAACCAAAATATTTTTCAACCAAAATTAAAGTGATGGAGATATAAATTTTATGATAAGCTGCTGCATACAAATGACTTATAATACAGTCCAGGGAGACTTATTCTGTGGAAGTTATTAGTCTTCTATGGCCATGTGTAGAGTTTATAGAAAGAATGCTTACATAGAAATAACATATATGCACAGTATTTATTCAATCATATATATATAATGACTCAAAATGCAGTATGGAAAATGACCCTTCCCCCTTGCATATATATGACTTTGAGTGCTGGAGCTTCACTTAAAATCAAATAAAGAAGCCCCAATTTTTCAGAGACTGCTTTCATTTTTTTCCCTACAACCTGTCAGCCCTTGGTACAAGATTTATACAAATTTGATTAATAAATAAATAAATACATTTACTCAGTGTGTTTTGTAGCTCTGATGATAATTAAATGCACTCAGTTCACTAGTAATCATCTGTTAACACTTATTTTTTTTTAGTGTATTTCTTTCATTCCTTAGAATGGAAAAATAACTTGCAAAACTCAAGACTCATTACACTTATTCTCAACCCTGAATGTGAAGAATGAATCTCTCGCTATTGTTTCTGTGTCCTACTATTCAAACAATTTTGTGTTAACTCCTAGATGCAGTCTCCTCATGAAAATTGGACATTGGTGACAGAATTTGTCTTGGTAAGCTTCACAGGCATCCAGGAGGCATGGTTGCCTCTGTTTGGCTTCTTCTTAATCATGTACTTGCTAACCCTGATGGAAAATGGCATCCTCGTCTTAGTGGTAGCAACAGAAAAGCGCTTACACACCCCCATGTACTTTTTTCTCATCCATCTCTCCTTCTTAGACATTTGGTATACCTCTCTCACTGTGCCCAAAATGCTGGCTGGGTTTGGATATCCTGCAGGTCAGAGGATCTCTTATTCTGCCTGCTTGACTCAACTTTACCTCTTCACTTTCTTGGGCAGTACAGAATGCTTCTTGCTGGCAGCCATGGCCTATGACCGCTATGTGGCTATTTGTATCCCTCTGCGGTACCAAGAGATTGTAGATCGAAACACCTGTCTGATTCTGGCAATTGGCTCATGGTTAACTGGTTTTCTTACCCCAGTGCTGCCTGTTTATTTCATGTCACAGTTGACATTTTGTGGCCCCAATGTAATAGATCACTTCTTCTGTGATGCTTCACCACTCCTTATTCTCTCCTGCACTGACATTTCACTGAAGGAATCAGTAGACTTCTTGGTCTCTCTTTTGGTACTGTTGATCTCCTCTTTGGTTATTATAACATCATATGTTCATATTATCATTACAGTGCTTAGAATTAGCTCGTTGGTTGGACGGCAACGAGCCTTTTCAACCTGTACTGCCCACTTAATGGTAGTGGCTGTTTTTTATGGGACACTATTCTTTATGTATGTCCGTATCAAAGTTACCTCCTCAATCAACCTCAACAAGGTGGTGTCAGTCTTTTATGCAATAGTCACGCCTGTCCTTAACCCTCTAATCTACAGTTTAAGGAATACAGAAGTGAAGGCTGCTTTATGTAGAATTATTTCCAAGAAAAAGCCTGTTGTAATGTGACATCAACAATAAAACAAGCATTCGTATTATTATTATGGGTTAGGAAAGGGCTAAGGGAGAGCAAGATTAGTTCAGAATCACTAATAATATCCTTCTTGTTTATTCAATTTCTTGGGATTATAAACAAAGAATGGAATCGACTGCTTAATTTTAGCTAGAGATTCCACCCATTTTTATAGGTGCTGAAACATTTTACAGGATTGTCATTTGTGCAAAATTGTTATCAGGAAAATAGCTGGGCCAAATGAGAAATTATTGGGATAACGGCAGGAAAACATTTTATGTTACTTTTTATATCCTGTTTTTTCTTTTCCAAAGAGAATCCTAAGTCTTTTATCAGGAAAATAAAATTACTCCAAAGTTGAGAGCCAAAGCAAGGGTGAGTAATATACTAAAGACTACAAGCAATAACTATTCCAAATTAACATCATTGCATGTTTTATGCTCAGCAGTGTCATCACTGCAGAATTTTAGAGTAGAGGTCCTGGATCCTGTTCCACTGAATAAACACAGGAGCCCTACATACAGTACATTAGGGCAGGCTTCCAGTATTTTAAAGTAAATACAATAGTTACATTTATCACTTCATGAATTCCTTTCCCTGAATTAAAATATTAAGATCAGAGCTGAAATCACCAAAGTGCAACACTGCTGGCTATATAAGATGTTCCCATGTGATGTTGTAGCTAAGAGCACCAGTTCTGGTTGTGGCAATGAGAACATTAGATCCGACCTGATCTGCTCAGATATGAAGGTAAAAGATAGTGGCTTTCAACCAGACCTTTTAGTCTTAGTTTGTTTGTTCTGAGTTATAATCTATTAGTTAATTTGCTCTGAGTAATAATCTATTAGACATTTGGCAAATCAACTTTCATATCCCATTGTTTTATTTTTTGTGGAAACCTGGTCTTGAACTTGGAATTTACACAAAGGAAGGCTCATTTCATTCTTTGTATCTTCTTGAATACAGGATGATACACTTCTTTATCATGTAAGTAACAATGCTTCTACTAAAGGTTAGGTGATCGATGTGTTAGGTGAAAGAGTGATTTATGGGTTAGGTGAAAGAATGATGTCACTATTTGCTGAACTCAACTAAGTGGTCTGATTTGGGAGGGGAATTTAAAGGACCTGGTGGCTCAGCAGACTAAAAGCATTGTGATTAACACTAGCTGTCTGCAATTACTGTAAATTCGAATCTCACCAGGCTCAAGGTTGACTCAGCCTTCCATCCTTTCTAAGGTAGGTAAAATGAGGACCCAGTTTGTGGGGGCAATAAGCCGACTTTGTATAAATATGCAAAAGTATGAAGGCTATTGCTTAATGCATTGTAAGCCGCCCTGAGTCTCCGGAGAAGGGCGGCATATAAATCAATTTTTTAAAAAAAAGGTATTGTGGGTATTATAAGCTTTAGCTAGTCTTTTTGCTTTGTGTTGTTAGAAAATTTTTTATCAATCACTTTTCATTTTCATTAGAGTATACTTGTTTAATTCCATAGACTTCTAAAGACAAATGCACTTATTCCTGCATCATAAAAAGCTCTCTACTCCATCAAAATTATTTTAACATTAATAATACGCTATCTCAAAATAAATTTGTTAATCTTTAAGCCTCCACTTGATTACTTAACATCTACAGTATTAGGAAAGGCAGCCCTTCCTAGATCAGGATACTATAGCTATAGCAACTCGTACCTTTGTCATTTAGAGATTCAGTTTCTGGAATGCATTTACATACAGGAGACTGACCTTTGAAGACCACAGTAAACTAGAATTCAATCAAAACTCAGTGCTCTACCTATTGATTGGCACTAATGGCAATAATAATGATATTATATACTACAAACAGGTTTCTTTATTCAAAGTTATTTATTCAAGTTAATCAAAATGCTAGTAACGACTTAGAATCCTATGCTGTACCTATCAGAACTGCTTCCTCCAACCACAATTAACTGAAGAGACCCTCTTGTAAAAAAGCTACTTATGGTAAACTGATTTTGTGAAGTGAAGGTTCCATGATTTTTCAGTCTTGAAAACTACTCTGAAACAACGTGAATCTAGAGGTTAGGTTAGTCCTTGGCTGACTGTCTTCCAGAAATTAGGGTCTTTTCTTGTGGAAAGCTTTTGGGGATGGTTGTGTGCCATCTTGAACTTTACCTTTTTAGTCTCTTGTTTATTTGGTATAGCGTGTTGTATCTGTTGCTTTGAAAAAAATGTCTTAATAAAATTGTACTGCACAATGTGATTTACTGTAGATATTTAGGATTGTTGTAAGCCTCTGTGAATTTAAAAAGTTTAACAATATGAAAATGTAATGAATAATAATATTTTACCTTTTTACATCCACGTTCTTTTAAGTGTAAAAGAATAATTTTTCTGTCTCATTTTATTTGAGTCCAAGGCTCTCATGATTTTTGGACAGATTGCTCTTCCCATTGTTTTCCAGGTTATAAATTACTTTGATAATTAGGGAATGATTCATTTTTAATATAATGCATAGTGAGCCAGGTGGGATATCACCATCATCCAAACCAATTCACTACAGGATGAAGGTCTCTTCAGTTCCTTTCCAGCACCTAAACTTGGTATGCATCGACCTTAAAAGATCTAGAAAATGTTTGAAAGGCTGAGCAAATGATGTAACTGCAGTCAAAGGTCTTAACTGGAAATTACTTTAACTTTTATAATTGTACCTAATTTGACATTGAGGAAATTTGGTCCTGCTTGGAATGCAGCTTGGATATACTAAGTACTGTTGTTACGTATACATACAAATGAGACACCTTGTAAAAGAGTTGCATTACATTAAAAAGAAATGGTCACTGAAAGAATTTGGTTCCAGGACAGAAAAATGTGGCATGTGAACCACTAGTTGATCCAACAAGGATATTTTTGCCTCCACTATTGCTGAGAATTTTCTTGGCAACTACAGAGTACCAAACTATATTCAGCTGGTTGACAAACTTCTTACTGCATACAAGACCATGAAGCACAACATATCACTGAAGATTCATTTTCTGCATTCACACTTAGACTTCTTTCCTGAAAAACTAGATGCAGTCAGTGATGAACATGGTGAAAGTTTTCATCAGGACATTACTACAAGGCAAAAATAGTAACCAGGCAACTGGAATCCACGAATGCTGGCTGACTATTGTTGGATACTGCAGCGGGATGCATACAACACTAAGTAGAAATGAAAATCAGCAATAAAACATTTTTAGCTCTGTTGAATTCATGCAGTATATCAGAAACATTATGCAATTAAATACATTATAATCATTAAAAGTTAATTTAATATTTCTCGAGATTCCTGTGTGAGACAGTCATTCTAAAATTGTACTTGTGTTCAGTTTGAAGGGGTCTATTATAATCATCAAAACATTATTATTGTCCAGTGTTATTAAATGCTCACTTGAGAAAATATATTTACTTACTTCTTATTTCTCATGACTAGCTTTTTAGAATTTGATTTTGTTTGGCTTTAATTGTCTTTACAGTACCAGAGTGACAAACTTGATTTGACAGATGGTGATTTTTTTTTTGTCTTTAATTTTTTCATGTCTGAACCCACAATTTATTAACTGCCATAGCAGTGAAATGTACAGTTAGGAATTTACTCAGAATTCCCTGTTTTATTTTCAGTCAGTATTCTCTTAACTAAACTGGCTTTGTTTGCTTTGAGTTTAATACGATGCAAGAAATCAACCAATTCTGGATTAATCAAACAAACTATACTTCTGCAAAATGTGGTTTAGCACAATGCCTGACGTTAGTGACAGCTTCAGTGTAGATGAGATGGCTGTCTTTTTTTCCAGTACTATTCCCCCCCCTTGCCAGTTTTTAAAAAAAACAGTGATAAGAACACTGTTTTCTGTTGATTCTCAAACAGATGGTCCACCATTAGGTACAATTATCATTTAGTGAAAAGTGGGTAAAACTAAGTTTTCCAGTGGAGGTAGTGCAGGTGCTGTTTCCCACAGACATTGTATTTTGAAGGGTCTTTCTTCTGAACAAGGCGTTGTGGGTAGGGTGGTGCAGAAACTAATTCTGGGGTGCAGGGGGCCTCCTGGGCCTCTTTGCTTACAGCCAGGGGTGAAATCCAGCAGGTTCTGACAGGTTTTGGAGAACCAGTAGTGGAAATTTTGAACAGTTCAGAGAACCGGTAGCGGAAATTTTGAGTAGTTCAGAGAACCAGCAAATGCCACCTCTGGCTGACCCCAGAGTGGGGTGGAAACAGAGATTTTGCAATATCCTTTCCCCAGGAGTGGGGAGGGAATGGGGATTTTGCAGTATCCTTCCCCTGGAGTGAGGTGGGAATGGAGATTTTGCAGTATCCTTCCCCTGGAGTGGGGTGGGAATGGAGATTTTGCAGTATCCTTCCCCTGCCATGCCCACCAAGCCATGCCCACAGAACCGGTAGTTAAAAAAAAATTAGATTTCACCACTGCTCACAGCACTTTGCTCTGAGAAAAGACTTTGTGGAGTGTGGAGCTTCACACTGGCTGTTCTCCTATTGTGTCAGTTGCTTCAATAAGAAAGCAAACAGCAGAACAATCCAGAATTATCATACAATGCCTCCCTCAGGCGGCCATTTCCTTGGAATGAAGGACTAACTTATGGGCCACTCTCTGGAAATCAGCCATGTCCAGCAGGAGGTTCAAAAAATAATGTGGCTGCCACAACTATTTGATCAAACCCTGTTTCTTTTTTTAGGGGTTGGGCATGCAATGCACATAAAAAGAGGCAGGGCTCCAAATGTACAGTCAAGACTGCCATTTGACTTTTTTTGAGCCACCCTCCCCACCTTCACAGATGCTGCTAATGGAAACTATCATTAGCTGCATTCCTGTAGGATTTGCCCCCTGTCTCACTTCAATTTAATTTAATTTAATTTAATTTAATTTAATTTAATTTAATTTAAATTTAATTTAATTTAATTTAATTTAATTTAATTTAATTTAATTTAATTTAATTTAATTTAATTTAATTTAATTTAATTTAATTTAATTTAATTTAATTTATATGCTCAGGGCGAAGATTCAGGGCGGCTCACAATACAGGTGAGGCAGGTGCATGTTATGCTATGCTATGCTATGCTATACTATGTTGTTTTATGTTATGTTATGCTATGCTATGTTATTTTACAGTATGTTATATTTTAATGTTATGCTATGCTATGTTACAGTTATGTTTTATGTTATGTTTTATGTTATGTTTTATGTTATGTTTTATGTTGTTTTATGTTTGTTGTGTTGTGCTGTGTTATGTGTTATGTGTTATGTTGTGATTTAGTAAATTTATATGCTGTCAATCTCATTTAGAGGCAACTTTGGGCAGCTTAAAATATTAAAAGTAGTAAACATTAAAAGAAATAAAGAATAAATGACACAGTAATAATGTCACATTAAAAGATGGGGGGAGAGGGGAGCACAGGGAGAGGTGGGGGGGTGTTCTATTCTAATAGCCACCTTCAGAGTGATATCACCCCCTCATTGGGGCTCCAGGCCAACTGGCAGAGCCAGGTCTTTAGGACCTTACAGAAGGCCTGGAGGGTCAGTATGGATCTCACCTTGGGGATGGGTGGGAGTGTAAGATGTTCCAAAGGGCAGGAGCCATGGCAGAAAAGGAACTCCTTGACTGATGGGCCCACAGCATGCCCTTTCTGCTGGCATGGGTGGGGCGGGCCAGTTTCATTGGGTTTTTTTTAATGCTTCCTTATTCTCCTTTGCAAAATCCTCCAACCAGTTTGGTTTTGACTCAGCTGAGAAAATAATTAAAGAGCCGTTGGGAATAGTGGTTATAACAGAAAATCAAAGGGCAAGGAAGGAGCTGCATTACTCTTGTGGAATGGGACAACTCGCCACAGCCAACTCGCTATGGCCAACTCATCATGGCCAACTCGCCACAGAACAATTTAACAATTCAATTTAATTATTTAAAATAAATTAAAAAATATTTTACTTTTTATCATTCACATTTCATTCTCTCCCTCCTTTGGCATTCTTTCTTTAATGATTCTATTCCACCATTTCTTTGATATTAGTGACCCGCAGCGAGTTGGCCATGGTGAGTTGACCAGAGTGAATTGGCCATGGCAAGTTGGCTCCGATGCAGGATTTTAGGAGTCTTTAAGGATGTCCATTCTAAAAGACATTAGGCAGTTAGTGGGATAATTAATCCTCCTAAAGAATTCCGTGGCTGAGGACTTTCTTCAGGGCTACCTTCATCTCTTTGTTCCTTAGACTGTAGATTATGGGGTTGAGTAACGGTGTGCCCAGAGTATAGACCATGGAAAGTAGCTGGTCTTGCTTTGGAGAGAAGCTGGTGTTTGGACGCAAGTACATAAAGCTGCAGCAACCATACTGGAGGGCCACCACAGCTAGATGAGAAGAGCAAGTAGATATAGTCTTTCGACGTGCATCGGCTGAGTGGATCCGCAGCACTTCCACAGTGATGAAAAGATAAGAGATACAGATCAATATGAAAGGCACTGCAATGGCCATTACCCCTGAAAACAGAATCCCAACTTCACTGAGTTCAGTCTTGTTACTTATGAGCTGGTACATAGGGGGCACATCACAGAAAAAGTGTTCAATTCCAAGCTCAGCACAGAAGGAAAGGTGAAAGACCAGCCACACCAGCATCAGGGAAATCAGGAAAGCAACAATCAATGACATAACTACTAGCTGAATGCATAGCTGCTGACTCATGATGAAGATGTATGTCAAAGGCTTGCAAATAGCCACATAACGGTCAAAGGCCATAATAGCCAGCAAGAAGCAATCAGCACTACCTAGTCCAATGAAAAGAAACATCTGAGCACTGCAGCTCCTAAAACTGATGAACTTCTTCTTCTGCAAGCTGGTCACCAAGATCTGTGGGACCACAGTCGCTGTATAGCAAAGTTCAATCACAGAGAGAGCGCCCAAAAAGAAATACATAGGGGTATGCAGGTGAGGGTTCTTCCAGATAGCTAATATAATCAGTGTGTTACCTGTGATTATGAGTGCATAAACTGTGCTAATGCCCAAGAAAAGCAAAGACTGATACTGTGGTTGAGTGGGAAAAGCCAAAAACATAAAATCCAGCATTGCCGTACAGTTCTCCTGAAGCATCCAGAATGATTGCTCCTATCCTAAAAGAAGAACATAAGAAAATCCGTGATCAAGCCAGTATATAAAAGGCATATTTTACCTGAAATAAACAGAGGTTTGACATGACAAAAGGGTAAAGGTTGATGTGTAGTTCTCTCATGTTGGGCTGGAGTTTCTATGAATCCCCCTCATTGGGCAGGAAAATGATGGTTTAGAAAGAATTAGAATTCAACAGCGTCTAGAGGATCAGATTATTAGTCCTTGCACTAAATGAAGGAGGGAAATATGCAAGAAGGCTCCCAAGCACTATAGAAATTCCCACCAGACTAAAATGATGCTGTTCATATTTCTGACTTATCACTTTTTATGTGTACGGCCCTAATATATCCTTCTGTTTGGGAAGTTTAATTGACACACCTATATATGGTCATTTTATGATTCTGTGTCTGTTATGTTTACTGAAATCCTTGATAGCTGCTATTGCAATAGCATGAATAAATATTCATAATCCAAAGAATAAGCAATACAGAATCACAGCATATTGTTTCATGTGAGTATTTCCATAACAGTGTTTTTTGCAATTTTTGAATATCTGCTTTTTGAACTTTTGAAACAACAAGGCAAGTGGGATGGATTTTGAGAAACTGATTTTTCAACTGGAAAAATGTCACCTCCTGTCACAGACCTCTAGAGGTGCAAATTTATTTATTTATTTATTTTAAATCATGATCCCAGGAGAAATGTTGTATTAAATACTTTACAGGACTAAAATATGTTTGAGATGTTGTTAGGATATGGTGTAAGTCTAACAAATTGTTCAAGCAATATATGTGTTCTATCATTTTAAATGTATTCTGTAACTTTAAATGTAATGCTGAGTAATTGTACTGCTGAGTCATTGTAATGACTAATGACTGCTGACTAACTGCTGACTGCAATTATCATAATTGTACTGTTGAGTCATTGCACTGCTGACTTCACTTATCTTAAGTGGATAATTACTAGTGTAAACTGTATATAAGAAGGAAGCCGAGCTACAGCCATTGTTGGACCTGCTCTCATCATTGCTTGACTTGCTGCTTGACTTGCTGGTTGAAACTGTTACTGTCGTGTGTGAAGAAGTGGATGGATCTGCTATCATCGTGATTTGTTACCAGCGTGAATTACTGCTGTTTGTCTGGTAAGAAGATATCTGTAACTTCGGACTGATTTGAATGGCTAAAGACTTGGATTGACTAAAAGACTATGCAATTGTTTTTCACTACAAAGTAAAAGCTTTGTTAAACCAGTTTGTATGTATTGTATTCATTGCTCTCAGTACCGTTTCTCTGTGCACTTACTCTGCTGGTTGGTAACACAACAATATCCTTAACATTGGTTATGGGCCCAGAGCCAACCAGAACTAACTAGGATTGTTCAGAGCTAAACTGAGAGTTAATGTGAATAATACAGAAAACTGTGTTTGTGAAATATAATCCAAGTGAAGATGGCACAAGAACAGTTAGCGAATATTTCCATGATAACCCGGCTGGATGGAACAAACTATGTATCCTGGTCTACAAAATGTAATCTACTTCTGCATAGAGAGGGACTTTGGGACGTAGTAATTAATCCACCGGATGTAACAACATGGAATCCTGATGATGAAGAAGATGCGAAGAAATTAGTCAAGTTTACTAGAGACAATGAACGAGCTCTTTGCATAATTGGACTGACACTGAGTGACCAGCAGCTTGTCCATATTCGTGGCAAAGAGTCTGCTGCTAGGTGTTGGACCAAGTTAAAGAGACTATATGTTTGTGACACTGTGGGTGCTCATATAAATCTCACACGGAAATTGTTTAAGCAACATCATCTTAAAGGAGGAGATATGATCGTTCATTTGGAATCCATGACCAGAATTTTCCAGGAGTTGCACGAAAAGGAACTTATTTTCTCGGAACTACAGCAAGTTTATATAATTCTTTCTTCTTTGGATGATAGTTATGATGACTATGTTTCTTCACTGGAGGTTTTGACCAGATATGACCTCACATTGGCTGGCGTAACTGGTAGGTTATTGGAAGAATCCAGAAGAAGACAAGAAAGGGATCAGTTGAGAGTAAACCAACCAGAAGAAGAAAAAATGACCTCAACTGTCTATGTTGTAAAACGATGTTTTGCTTATGGGGCTAAAGGGCATATAGCTAAATATTGTAAGAATAAGAAAATGTCTGTTAGGGATAATAATAGACTCAAGAAGGGTTGTAATTTAGCTATATCCAGTTCAACAACTAATGTTAACCAGGATTGGTGGGTTGTTGATAGTGGTGCTTCTCAATCTATTACTAAGAATAGAAACAACTTTGTGAAAATGGATAAGAGTAACCAACATGTTAGATTAGCAAATGGTTGGAAAGTTAAGGTAGCTGGAGAGGGTGTTGCACATTGGTCATTTAGTACTGAACCATTGCCTATGTTATATATTCCTGGGTTAAAGTATAATTTGCTATCTGTTAAATCATTATTGCAAATTGGGTTTACAGTAATGTTTAAGAATGATAAATGTATTATTGAAAAAGATGGAAAGGTTGTTACTGCAATATTAGAAAATGATTTATTTATTTTAAGAGAGAACCCAGCATTAGTAGCAAAATCTAAGTCGGTGTACAGGAATGATAAACCACATGATGAATGTATTCATCTATTACATCGAAGACTAGGGCATATAAATTTCAGGTCATTAAAGAAAACAGTTCAGCTATCTGAAGGTATAAAACTACAATCATGTAGTAAGTATTTGAACTGCAACGCTTGTAATCAGCAAAAGAATAAGGTAATACCAGCAAATCGTTTTAATGGTTTTAAGACCAAAAAGCCATTAGAGGTAGTGTTCGTAGATTTGATTGGACCCAAGAAACCCAGTATTGGAGGTGCCTGCTATATTCTAAGCATAGTAGACCATTACTCTAGGTACGGATTTTGTTAACTTATGAAAACAAAATGTGAAACATTCCAGCATATAAATAACTGGCTGAGATTTGTTGAAAGGAAACAGAAGTATAAAGTAATGTGTTTAGTAAGAGATAACGGTACAGAATTCACTAACCAAAGGTTAGAGAAGTTTTTGCAAGAGGCAGGTATACAGCATAAACGGTCTGCTCCATATAGACCACAGCACAATGCTTTTGTTGAGAGAAGGGGTCAAACATTACAAGCCATGACTAAAACAATGTTGGCAGATTCTGGTTTGCCTGAAACTTTATGTTATGTGTGCTAACCATGTATTAAACAACGTGGTACATTCATCTACTGGTGAAATACCATTTACATACCATGGGAGGAAACCAAATCTTAGTTACCTACACACATTTGGAGCCCCAGCTTGGGTGCATATTCCATCTACTGTGAGAAGGAAGGAACAACAAAGAGCCAAATAAATGTTTTTCGTAGGCTATGATTCAAACCATAGGTCTTTTAGATTTTGGGGACAGGGAACTACTAGTGTTTACTGTAGTGCTAATGCAAAATTTCTAGAGCACGAAGGATGGGAGAAACTTGAGCATGCAGATTATAGACAGGATGACAATACTGTTAGCATTGAGCATCAAATGAGTAACAATACTGATGAGGATATAGATGATGTAGATTCTTCTATTAAGGTTGAAGAAGAGGAGGTAGTTTTAGGGGAGGATGAAATTGAATCACCTGCAATGAGTCCTGTATTACCTAGGAGATCCAATTGGGAAAGACATCCACCTGACAGGTATAAAGCAACCGTAGTTTGTCAGGTTAATATAGAACCTTCAAGTTATGAGGATATTAGGATGTATCCTAAAAAGGAGCAAAATGCTTGGAAGGAGGCAATGAGTAGAGAAATAAATTTATTAACTAAATTGGGTGTTTATGAGGATGTTAAATTGCCACCTGGAGAGAAATTGATTGGTTGTAGATGGATGTATAAAGTAAAGTATAGATGGGATAGTAACCCATAAAGCTCGCCTTGTAGCTCAAGGTTTCGCTCAAGCAGAGGAGCAGGAGTGAGAGTTATGCTTATATTTACTGCCAAATGCTATTTATGCCTTAATGGGACATTTAATTAAAACTAAGAGATCAGGTCACTACTTTCTTCCAAAGAAGTATTTGCTTGATGGTTCACAACATATGACAGATGCTGAAGTACTGATAAATTTGATCCTCCTTTGTGTAAACTATGGAAAATAATTTGGAGGGGAATTCTGTAAGTACAGGAGAACCACAAGGGAGGAACAAGTTTGGATCAAAATAGCAGGTCAGAAAAGTTAGATCCATAAAGCTTGCTTTGCTCTAGTCTAGGCCATAGAAACCTTACATGCATTAATTTAAATTAACACAAAATTCAACCAAATTATGCAAAATGAATGTAATGAAAAAGAAGTAAGTGGTAGAAGTGTAATCTGCAGCTCCTCCAAAGTTTCTCTTTCCTCCTTTGTGTAACTATGGAAAATAATTTGGAGGGGAATTCTGTAAGTACAGGAGAACCACAAGGGAGGAACAAGTTTGGATCAAAATAGCAGGTCAAAAAAGTTAGATCCATAAAGCTTGCTTTACTCTAGTCTAGGCCATAGAAACCTTACATGCGTTAATTTAAATTACCACAAAATTCAATATTGGTTTCAGTAAGGAGAACCAAAAAGCAGAAGCAGAATATACGTAGAGCAAGAACAGCAGAATAACAATAATTCAGCTGACATTTTAAAACTCTTTGAAAACATTTTTAGAAAGTATTTTATTTGGTTTTGAAAGTTCTACTATTTATCCTGGAGAACATTAAAAAAGAATTTAGGAGAAGAAGCCTTCTCCTAGATTGCAGTTGCCATTGTTGAATAGGATCACTCATGAAGGACTTTATATATAGTACAAGTATAGCCTTTACAGTATCTCAGATAAGTCACCACCCTTTATGAGACTCGGTTCTCCATTCTTTTTCCTCAAAGCTGATTTTTTTAAAAAAAGAAATGCTGTTAATGCTGTATTCTAGTTATTTGCTTGTCACATGTTTATAGGTAATTGTGCAAGAGTTAACAAAGCATAATTTTTTGTTAGATAGTGATTTTTTTAAAAAAAAACATTACTTCCTCTCTGTATCCTAAGAAAATAATGTCATTGTATGTTTTCATAATATGGGCATCTGTCGTTCAATAGAATTGTGGTGGTGACAATGAATCCGTGATTTCTATTTAAGACCATAATGTATTGACTAGCACTTGAAAAATGGGAAAACTAATTCATCCTGACAAATCATTTGCAAATAAGTATTGATAGTTAGTTTGCTTCAAAGGTACTGGATACACATAAAAATCTACCAAAGGTGAATAGAAGGGTAACTTTTCACCCTTGTTTGTATTCTCATCTCTCAGGCCATCTTACCATGCAGATGACGATGACTTTGAACTTAAGGCTTTAGCGTTATCTCAGACAGCAAGATGGGTGGCATATAAATTTAATAAATAACAAATAAATAAAAATTAGAAAACAGCAGAATAGGAAATGGTATAAAATGAGCAACTTACCAGGGATGATAAGTGGCAGCTCCACTGTTCTTGTGATTTCTGTCTGTATTTGGACTGCCAAGATGAGAAGATTGTTCAGTCATAGGTTTGATCAGGAAAAAGAGGAATGGCCTTTTTCCTCGAAAAAGAGCTGCATAGATAGGTTAAAACAGCCAAGGTCTCACTCCCTTGCTGAAGAAAGAGGATCTGCTAGAGAATATGTATGTTCACTTGCCTGTGAAGTGCTATCAATCTTTGGATACATTAGCCAGACTTTTCTGCCTTGTTCTTTGTGGAATCCCTAGGGTGCAGTTGCTTAATCTAGATGATTTATGATATATTGCCCAGTTCATATACCTCCATGGAATATTTACAGACACTTTTCAGAGTGGTTGTATATTAGTTTGATTACTACAAAAATGGGTATATCTGTACCAGGTGCAACTTTGCTAATTATGATCTTCACATGTAACTGGGTCTTAAACTCAATGTAGATTCTATTCTGTGAGGAATTTATACATCTTTTACAGCTATAATTAAGTACAGCTATAATTAGGTAATTGTGGGTCTTAAACATTATTCTTTATTTGCAAAACAAGAAAAAATGACAAATTGGACTCTGAAGAGCATGCTTCATCAAGGAAGCCTTTCTTTTAATAAAATTAGTACTCATTTCTTAAAGTATGTAATACATGGCCCTCATTCCGAGAAAGCCTATCAACAAATATGTCTTTGTTCTTCACTCTTTATAAATATGGGCTGTCTGTATGGTTTTACATTTTATCTGTTTTTATGGATTTTTCAATTTTGTACACTGCCAAGAGTCTATAATAAATTTGAATAAATAAATATGAGTGATGTGACAATTTTTTTTCAACATTTTCATATTCCTTGATTAGATTATTGTTTTTTGCCTGATTGTTTATCTGGTACTGATCTCTGCTTGTCTGAATTTTTTCATTTCATTTCATTTTTTCATTTCATTTGATTTATATACCGCCCTACTCCCGAAGGACTCAGGGCGGTGAACAGGCACAAGATAAAACACATAGAATACAAAAATTTAAGAACAGAAGTAAAATAGAATTAAATCAATTTAGCCCAAGACAAATTTTAAACCCCAGGTTAAGAACAAATTAAAATTTACATTAAAATTTACATTAAAAAGAGAATGGGAGAGGTTAGGCCAGACCAGCCTGGTGAAATAAAAAGGTCTTGAGAGCGCGGCGGAAGGTGCGTAGATCCGGGATCCTCCGTATCTCCGGGGGGAGCTCGTTCCAGATAGTAGGTGCCCCCACAGAGAAGGCTCTCCCCCTAGGGGCTGCCAGCCGACATTGTTTCGCTGACGGCACCCGGAGGAGTCCCTCTCTGTGAGAGCATACCGGCTGGTGAGAGGCCATTTGCGGCAGCAGGCAGTCCCGTAAATAACCAGGCCCTAAGCCATGGAGCGCTCTAAAGGTGGTAACCAAAACCTTGAAGCGCACCCGGGAGCCAGTGCAGCTCACGCAGGAGAGGTGTTATATGGGAGCGCCACTTTGCTCCCATAACCACCCGCGCGGCCGCACTCTGCGCCAGTTGGAGCCTCTGGGTGCTCCTCAAGGGGAGCCCCATGTAGAGAGCGTTACAGTAGTCCAGGCGGGAAGTGATGAGGGCATGAGTGACTGTGTTTAAGGAGTCCCGATCCAGAAAGGGACGCAACTGGCGAATCAGGCAGACCTGATGGAAAATCCTCCCAGTCACGGCTGTCAAGTGCTCTTCTAAAGACAGCCGTGAATCCAGGAGGACGCCCAAGTTGCGAGCCCCCTCCGTGGGGGCCAGCGATTCGCCCCCAATAGTCAGCGATGGTGTCAACTGACTATATCGGGACATCGGAAACCACAGCCACTCAGTCTTGGACAGGTTGAGCCTGAGCCTGTTCCTTCCCATCCAGATCCACATGGCCTCCAGGCACCGGGACATCACTTCAAGGGCATCGTTGGGGTGGTCCAGGATGGAGATGTACAGCTGAGTATCGTCAGCGTACTGGCGGTACTTCACCCCGAAACCATGGATGATCTCACCCAGCGGCTTTACATAAATGTTGAACAGAAGGGGCGAGAGGACTGACCCTTGTGGCACCCCACATATGAGGCGCCTCATGTACGTAGGCTGTTGTATTTTAACTTCCTCCCTAGGGTTTTTTTTTCCCCCTCTTTTGAATGGTCTGTAATGTAAACTTCAAAGTTCAACCCTGAGCTAAATATATTCTCTTCTGTTAGAGATTTTTCTTGCAATTTGATACCTTCTTTAACCCGGTACCTTATGTGATTGCCCAATTTGCCTATGCTTTGAGCAATAATATGTTAATTATTACATTTGGTTAATAATATTAATATTAACAACAATAATAAACACTGCCCTTGGCTACAGATATGGAAATCCATTTCTGCCAAGTACAGATGTGGTCAGGACTGTCCCAAAGAATGCTGGAATAAAGCTTTTGTTTTGATATCTTCTGCAAGATCATTCCTCAACCTGTTGTCCAAAAAGATCTCTGGCGAATGCAGATCTATTAGATATCCATACCATAGTGTAATTAATTAAGCAGATAAGAAGTAGAGAACCAGTGACAAAATACAAACCAGAACCCCAGATAACATGGACAACATTAAGGCTGCTCCTCCCACTTGACAGTTGTGATCCTACAATACGGAGTCTGCAGCCTTGTGTATCTGCGTCCCAAGTCCAGCACTTCAGAAGATGAGGATAGGAAACTGGCTCTTATATACACCTTTGTCACTCCCCCCCTCCTGAACCCCTTGATCTACACCCTGAGGAACAAAGATATCAAGCAGGCTTTAAGAAAGGTCATGAAGAAAATGGTTACATCTCAAACTTGAATCTCAATTTATCTATAACATTATTATACCCTTAAAACCAGTTGTGGATTAGCATTATCACAGAAGGAAGTAATCTTGAATCCTTCAGGTAATTGCTGATCATTTCCCAGCATCTGTGGAGAAGGCCTGGTGCCGTCCAGATGTGGACTTAATCCGGAGAATGGCAGCCACAATATAAACATATGAGATGCATATCAGAAGAAAGGGAATTGTTAAAACCAGGATGCCAACAATGTATAGCACAGTTTGGTGAATTTGCGTGTCAGCACATGCCAGCTGAAGCACAGGTGGTACATCGCATAGGAAATGATTGATCTTGGGTTGGTAACCACAAAAAGGCAAGTTGAAAATCAAGATGGTTAGCTGCAGACACAGCACTATGGCAAGAATCAGGGAGCCAATCACCAGCCACATGCATACGTGCCAGGTCATGATGAGGGTATAGCGAAGTGGGTGGCAGATGGCTATGTAGCGATCATACGCCATGACAGCCAACATAAAACAGTCAGTGCTGCCTAGTGATGTAAAGAAGAACATCTGGATGGCACAGTTCACCAATGGGATTGTTCTGTGGAAATCAGAAATGCTAGCAAGCATCTGAGGTACTACCACAGTGGTATAACACATTTCCAGACAAGAGAGGCTGGCCAGGAAGAAATACATGGGGTATGCAGGGAACGGACAGTGCAGATAACCCAAAGGACAGAGCAGTTACCAAAAATGATTGTGAGGTAGAGCAAAAGAAAGAAAGTGAAAATAAGATGTTGTATCTCAGGAACAGTGGAGAATGCCTGGAAGAGGAACTCGTAGGCAATGGATTGATTATCCCAGTTTGTAATTGTCAGATACATCTCAACTATCACTATAAAAAAGAAAACAGAAAAAAGAAAAAAGAAAAAAGAAAAAGAAAAAAACGGTTAAATAATTATGTACAGTATATTTACATAAATTTCAGAGTCAAAAACGTGTGGACTGTATGATATTGAGGTCTGATACATGAAATCTCAATGGTTAATCCTAGTTTTTTTTCATTTTCCTTCATCTCACAATTACGCTCTACCCAAGCAAATTCTAACATTTCCAGGATATTATTTTAGATGTATTATGATATCAATTGTCCAAAACTGACCAAGTAGAAACAAAAGCCAATATTTACAGAACTTGGGTTATCAATGGGATACAAGCATCTCATCCTTCTCCCTACTACATCAGGAGAGGGCAACCTTTGAAAGCAAGGAACCACATAAAAGGCAAGAGATGAGTCCAGGTCCCACAGAAGATTGAGATTAGACTTTGGTTTAAATTCAGTTGCGTGAGTTTCCCATCTCCCAATAGAACATGGAGAGGAATATATCTTCAGCTGCTCTGATGTAAGAAGGCTAAAACTTATGAAAACAAGGGGTGGAAGAGTTGAAGTGTAGGCTGAATATAACACTACTTTGATTGAGATTATTTAATAAAACAGCTGGCATTCCTGTACCTGCATAGCATTTCTTTTCACAGCCCTTTACAGTTCTTATGATTCAGCTCTCGTAAGACTTACCTCCATCAAAGAACCAGGTTCTATGATGTTCTTAGTGTAATACTTGCTTGTCTTCCCAAAAAAATTGCTTTCTCACTTCCAGCTTCCAGCTTTCACCCATTGCAGTATTGCCCACTTTAAACCTGTGAGCAAGGAAACAAAGTGGGGAAGTTGAGAAGGCAGCCCTCTGCATAAATATTTGGAGTGTGGGAAAAGGCCCAGAATGCCAAGTGCAAATAGCAGGGCAACACATTAGTAGCATTCTTCTGGAACCAACAACATTCATGAATTAAGTCATTATATAACAACAGCTGGTTTTAGGGGTGGAAAGGGAAATTGCTGGGGAATGTATAATGGAATGGATTGGCCTTAAGGCCACAGTTTTATTCACTCTTTTTGAAAGACAGTTTCACTGAATAGAGAGAGTTATTTTTCTTACAAAACTTTAGGGTTAGAATATGAACAAATATAGAAGTCTACTATGATTTTCTATCTCTGTCAATAAATTGATTTACTTTATCTGTTATCTGCTATTCTTTGAATAAGCCTTCAGGCTACCTTCATATTTAACAGTGCTTATACAGCACAAAAATAAAGTCTCCTTTGAATAGAGCTGAGGTCCAGGTAATTTCATGGACAGATCCAGGTCATTTTCTCAGCAAGGGAGTAAAAGTGGTTTGCCACAGTCTTCTGGATGTTTATAACTTTCTAGTTGAGCCTTGATTCTGATTAGTGGAATCCCATTATAGTACTAATCAGTCTTAGCCCTGCTTAGCTTCCCAAACCAGATAGGTCAAAAGCAAAAAGCACGATGATAGAATACAGACCTAACTTACGTGTACAATACAGTTTTCAGGAGTTTATAGATATTATAGATTTAAATCTTTCAACATCTGCCAATTTTTGTGTTTCAAATAAAATTAGTTTTAAGTGCTGTGAGAGATCTAAAATTGTAACTATTGTTTTTAAAAAAATATACCTTTATTGTTGGTTTCTATTGTTCAAGTTTCAGGGAAAAATGAAAAGTCTGATAGAGGAAAAAATGGCTGAATGAACAGAAATGCAAAGCTGAAAAATATTTATAAGGAAAGGTATACCATTGCATTTACTGAAAAGGGAGTAATTCCTGAATTAAAACAATTTCCACCCCATCACTCTGAAAGACTAGACAGCATCCATTGTCATATTCTCAGCTAATCTTTGCAGCTTTCTCCTTTTAAAGGTAAATTATTTGATGTAAAAATAATATTGTTTCTAGGCAAATACAGTCTTTAAGTTGTCCCACATATACAGTATTCCTAGATCACTGTGCTCTTGTAAACAAATAGCTACAGAAACTGATTATATCATCCATTCCAATTCTCCCTTTCTGACTGTTACAACTGATTTGAACACTGCCCAGAATGTCTTCAATAATCCCAACTATGATCTTGAATTGGTACATTTTCATTTGTATTCTGCAATCCAAGACCAAAATTGTGAAAAGTGTTCTGAATGTCAGCAAAATCAATCCTGATTTGGGGAAGAAACACATTTAATCAACTGTCATCTGTTAAAATCTTCCTATTTTTGCTCACTGCCCACTGCAAACCCAATGCAGGAGAAGGAATAAAAAGGGAATGAAAATGAGGCAAAAGAAAACACCACCACCACCTACATCTCTAAATAAAGCTTTAAAAAATATCTGGCTGAAATCCACAGGAGTGTCTAACAGTCCAGTCAACCCCCCCGCCCCCCCGCCCCCCCCAAAAAAACCAGACAAAGGATCTAGCTAAACTCACCAATGAACTCTTACCTTGTAAAATGCCTCTGATCCAGGATTACAAAACAAAAGAGGGGGCATCTCTTCTTCTTAGTAAGGTTTCCGTCTCAAAAGATGAAAGGGGAATGAAATGTTATCAAATGTCTATGAACAGGTTGGTGAGCTTTCTAGCTGAATTATCTGTTAGTTCCTTTCTGGGATGAATCCAGTTTACAGTATTTGTTAGATTGAATATAGCCAGGTTCCTCCCAATTCACTGAATCAATACAGGAATGCAAGCAAAGGTAGCCACTTAACTCAGCTATCTTTTCTCCAGCCAATCAGGGCAGTCTTTATCTTCTTTGCACGGTATTATACCCAGGAGACATGTCAAGTATTTAATATTTAAAAACAAAAACAATTCTCCTTAGGAATCCTAGTGTCATAAAGTTTTTAAAAAGTAATTAAAACTTCAGAGGCCAAAAACTTGCAATAAATTCATTTCAGCATTCTGTGTAGAAAGTTTTGGCCAAACTGTGGCCACATCAGCTGGCAGGATCCACCTAACACTTTCAAAAACCTTGAATGCTCTAAAATCGTGATGGCGCACCTATGGCACGCACGCCAGAGGTGGCACGCAGAGTCCTCTCTGTGGGCATATGGGCTGTTGCCAGCTGCTCTTCCGGTTTCTGCTGCGGGCATGTACACTGGCAGCTGGTCTTCGTGTGTGCCGGAGTGCTGGAAATCCGAAGACCAGCTGACTGGCGCATGCATACGCACTGGCCAGCTTATCTTCGGGTTTCTGGACTCCAGCGTGTGTGCATTCCAGTTTTGACAATCGGTGCCAAAAAGGTTTGCCATCACTGCTCTGGAAGCTAATGCATTATGTTCAAAATTAGCTTTGCAAAGCATTATAAAGAACTTCATTGATCATTCATATCATTTCTGAACAATCATTTGTTCCTGGGGATGCTCTTCTCTCTCCTCCACCTTATTTATGATTATATTAAGTAATAGTCAGGAACTGCTACTGCCACATTGCAGATGCATTGAAAATGCATGTGGATATTTAGTGTGTTTATAAATAGCTTCAAGTCCTATTCATAGAAAAAGGTCTATTCAAGTGATGGCAAACCTTTTTGGCAGTGAGGGGCCAAACCAGAATGCTGCATGCGTGACAGAGAGCTGGAAACCAGAATACCAGCTGGCCGGTGCACATGTGTCTGCTGACCAGCTGGTTTTTGGATTTCCGGTGCTCCGGCATGCGCAAAGACCAGCTGGCTGGCACTCTTGCAGGCGCCAGAAACCTAAAGACCAGGTGGCCAGTGTGCACACAAAGACCAGCTGTCCGGCATGCTTGCGGGTGCCGGAAACCAGAGGAGCAGCTGGCGATGGCGAGCGTGCCCAGAGAGAGGACTCTGTGTGCCACCTCTGGCACATGTGCCATAGGTTCGCCATCACGGGTCTATTATATTCTGTTTGTTCTGTTCTATTCTATTCTAAATATTCTAGCTTTTCTACTGCTTTAGCCACTATGTTTCAGGCAACTATGCTTTCTAGTTTCTACTTTTAAATACTTTGGGGTTTAAAGAATTCCACTTAGTCCCTTTCACACTTTTTAATGTGAATAGGAAAACACATTGAACAGGTGTCAGGTGACATTGGTTTATAGGTCCAACTATTTTAATCTATGAATTATAGTTTGTGTTCAAAGATGATATGCAAATTAGGCAATGATCATTTATTCAACAAACCATAGTTAAAGATCCAATTTCTTATAATGGTTAGGGCATTATAGACTCAGAACCTCCAGACTAAAAATCTGGAGACTGTGAGTTTTAGTCTTGCTTTAGACATAAAGCCAGCTGAGCAACTCTGTGCCAGTCCATCTCTCTCAGCTCTACAAAACAGGCAGTGGCAAGTCATTTTTGAAAACATCGCCAAAGAAACTTCAGGGACTTGTCCAGGTATTTGCCAGGAGTCAAAACAGACTTGAAGATATTAATTTCCATTTTTTAAAAAAAGTTAAAATACAGCATAATGTGAGAACACTGGATTCTGTATAAATAAAATGAGTTCATTCCCTGGTTGCAGTGGTGGGTTCCTCCCGGTTCGGCCCGGTTCGGCCGAGCCAGTAGCGATGACGATATGACATCACCAAACCAGTTCTCTTTGTTATTTTTATTTTATGGGGGGGGGAATGCAAATTATGTGTATTCAATATTTCAGCAATGTCTTGAATAATTCCATTATACATTTTGTGTCTACTCTGTTTTTATTAGGATATGTGGTGACTGATACTGCTTTTATCTTTAGTTTTACATTTCTTCTGTGGTTACACAGGTCATTGCATCTCTTTTTCGACCTTTTTATTCCTAGTTTTCTTGTCTGGTTCAATGTTTGCTGTTAAGGCCAACCCTAGTGAGAACTTATGTAAGACAAGTGCAATCTATTATTTAGGAAATTCTCATGGTATGCAAGATATGTGTTGGCAGAGGAGGCATGCTGAGGATCCTGTCAATCCAATTATTCCAGTTGGAGGGGTCCAGGAGGAAGGTCTTCTCTGCTGTTCCTCCTGCCTTCCGGATGTCAGGTTACCCCCAATCTTCCTATCCTTTTGTAAGGGGATAAAGACAAGGCTCTGCCATTTGTCTTGGGGCCCCAGTGGGGGAACAGCACCAGGGATTAAAATGCTACTGGTTCGGACCAGTTCAGGCGAATCGGTAGTAAAAAATGCTACCGGTTTGGGTGAACAGGTATTTCTGACTGCAATATATTAAGTCTGCTGAAGTAGGAAGTAACATTCTGTTCATTGATTGGTTAAAGTAACGTTCTGTTCGTTGATTGGTTAAGCCGCCTGACAGCTGGCTAGATAAGAGCTGTCAGGCAGAGTTCCAAGCAGTTTCAGTTATAGCTGTGGCAGTTAGCACAGCTGTTGTTAATAAATGGTTAATTACATGATCTTCACATTGTCCATCATCATTGATCAAGCCAATACATTTCACTGACGATCAGCTGGGTGATGATCAGCTGTGACGCGCGATTTATATTAGTTAGAAATTTGGATTTCCTGCTTTCTAGCTAATCTAAATCACGTGGCACAGCAGATCCCCCCCCCCACTATCTACTTACCTTTGCAGACTCAGAAGGCTTCAAAATGTTCCTTTTTTAGCACTGCGTGGGAACGCCTCTTGCATGTATGCACCTCAGGTGTGCATGCTAGCTCAGTGCGCGCTTGGTAGCAAACTCACATAACCGGTAGCAGACTTCAGAGGATTTCACCCCTGAATAGCACGTGAAGGTGGTTGATTGAGTAACAACAGATCCCACCTCTTCCCACTCTTCCCCCACCCTCCCCATATTTCCATAGGTATTAATGTTTGATTTTAATTTATTTATGGTTTAGTTGTATATGTATAAATATATTTTTATGAGTGTAAGCCACTGAGAGTTACCTTATGCTGAGATGAGTGGCCAATACAAAGAGCCTTGGTGGCACAGCAGACTAAAGTGCTGTTAAATAGCACCAGCTGCCTGCAATTACTGCAAGTTCAAATCTCACCAGGCTCAAGGTTGACTCAGCCTTCCATCCTTCTGAGGTAGGTAAAATGAGGACCCGGATTGTGGGGGCAATAAGCTGACTTTATATAAAAAAGAACACCGCTTGTGGGGGCGTGAAAGCCCTACTAAGCAGGTATAAAGAAAAGTATGAAGGCTATTGCTTAACGCATTGTAAGCTGCCCTGGGTCTCCGGAGAAGGGCGGCATATAAATCGATCCAATAAATAAACAATAAATAAATAAATACATTTTATAAATAAATAAATATGACAAGGCTGAGGGAGGGGTCAAGTGTGTCATCAGTTTGTAACCCCATCATGCCCATGAGAGATTCAGCCCAGAAATCCAGCCCTCCTTGAATTCCTTTGATTCTTATCTACTGCCAAGTTGCCTCGATCCTTGTAGTGATCTAACATGGATTAAACTTGTACTCATTTGAACAACTTTGGTTCCTGATTTCTTGCATCTGACATGGCAGTGTGGAAAGAGATGGCACAACTTTGCAATTCATGTCCTTAAAGACTTAAATTTTATTTTTAAAATGTAAATATTTGAATAACAATCAATATACTGTGAATTAATTGAAGAAATTTATCAAGTATTTTTCTCTTGGGTAAAGCAGGAATTGAGATTAGTCTCACTACAATCAGGAAGTGAATGTGATAGAGTCAGAAGAACAAACTGCTTCAGTTCAAATTCCAGTAAAATTTTTCTGCAAGAAATCCAATATTCCTATAAAGCCATACCTTTATAAAGACACATGAAATTCCAGATTAACTTGTAACCTCTCAGCTTTTAACTCTTCCATTTTTAATTTGACATTATAGTACCGGTAAAAAGAATGGAAGACAAAATTAGTGCAATTTGAACCATGTATGTCTTATACTGTAGTCTTCAACTGAACTGAAAGAGGCAGAGTATTTGCCAACATTTGGTGCCATAGGCAAAACATAAAATCAGTTCCCTCTACCCAAATCCCAAAGTAAATATACTTTACATTTTAAAATTGTAGATTACTTTTTGTGGAGTTTTTATGCTCTCTGAACTTAGTAGTTTGCTGTATACATTATCTTATCCAGCTAGATAATATGATCAGTGCAAGCGAGTATGGTATTAGCTTCATCTTTATACGCACTAGCTTGCTCTGCCAGATTTGGTGGAGTGTAGTTTCCTCCTTGGTGTTGCATAATCAGAGCATTGTTTTTAGCCTGATTGTTTGCAAGGGATGGAAACTAATCCAGACCACCCCAACGATGCCCTTGAAGTGATGTCCCAGTGCCTGGAGGCCGTGCGGGCCTGGATGGGGAGAAACAGGCTCCGACTCAACCCCTCCAAGACCGAGTGGCTGTGGCTTCCAGCGTCCCGATATAGCCAGCTGATGCCATCGCTGGCTATTGGGGGCGAATCACTCGCCCCCACGGAGAGGGCTCGTAACTTGGGCGTCCTCCCGGACGCACGGCTGTCTTTAGAAGATCATTTGACGGCCGTGGCCAGGGGGGCTTTTTATCAGGTTCGCCTGATACGCCAGCTGCGCCCCTTTCTAGATCGGGACTCTCTACGCACAGTCACTCAGGCACTAGTCACTTCCCGCCTGGACTACTGCAATGCTCTCTACATGGGGCTCCCCCTGGGGTGCACCCGGAGGCTCCAGCTGGTCCAGAACGCGGCTGCACGGGGGATTATGGGGGCGACGAGGCGCTCCCATGTGACACCTCTCCTGCGCGAGCTGCACTGGCTCCCGGTGGTCTTCCAGGTGCGCTTCAAGGTGTTGGTGACCACCTTTAAAGTGCTCCATGGCTTAGGGCCGGGGTACTTACGAGACCGCCTTCTGCCACCAATAGCCTCCCACCGGCCAGTACACTCGCACAGAGTGGGCCTCCTCAGGGTGCCGTCCGCCAGACAATGTCGACTGGCGACCCCCAGGGGGAGAGCCTTCTCTGTGACAGCGCCCACCCTCTGGAACAACCTGCCCCCAGAGTTACGTACAATAACAGACCTCCGGATTTTTCGTCGGGCCCTGAAAACCAATTTATTTCAACTAGCTGGGCTGGCTTGAGTTAAATTTTAAATTGATTTTAAATTGGGTTGTTTTAATTTACGGCCAAAATATTTAATTATTTTAATACTGTTTTTTAAATTTTGTATGCTCTGTTTTTACTTTGGCTGTTCACCGCCCTGAGTCCTATTTGGAGAAGGGCGGTATAGAAATGGAAATAAATAAATAAATAAATAATCAAGGAGAGAACCAACCTAGAACTAAGGAGAAATTTCCTGACAGTTAGAACAATTAAACAGTGGAACAACTTGTCTCTAAAAGTTGTGGGTGCTCCAACACCAGAGGTTTTTAAGAAGAGATCGGACAACTATTTGTCTGAAATGTTATAAGGTTTCCTACTTGAGCAGGGGGTTGGAAGACCTCCAAGGTCCCTTCCAACTCTGTTATTCTCTTTGGTGCTGATCCCTGCTTATCTGAATGTGGATTGCTGTAGTCTTTTTAGGTTTTTTTTAATTACCTCTTTTGAATGGTATGAAATCTAATCAGGGATCAACCCAGGGGTGGATTCTACTTACCTTTACTACTGGTTCGCAACGGGGCCTCACGTGTGTGCTCTTCTGCGCACGCGCACGGTCTTCTGCGCAAGCGCAGAAACTTCTGCGCATGTGCAGAAGTGTTTTGATGATGTCAGGATCAGTGGGCGGAGCCTCCCGCCAGTTTTACTACCAGTTATATAGAACTGGTATGAACCGGGGGCAACCCACCACCGGATCCACCAAAGGATCCCACCAAAATTGGCAGGAGAAAGTAGTACATAGGAACAAGGAGTAAACTTCACATTCATTCACACTGATGATGTTACCTTCTTGGGTAAGGAAATGCCTGTAAGCAAACAACCAAGCTCACAAAGTACCAGAACTGCACAGATCAACCACAAGCTATGGATATTGTCTTCTATTGGAGACTTTATTTTTCTTGAAGTTTGATAGCCCACTTAACTAGTCACCAAAGGTGATTGCCTGATTTGCCTATATAGACATACCACTGTACGATACAGATATGGAAGTTCATTTCTGCCAGGTGCCAAATTAAATTATGAGGTGTCCTAAAGGATGCTGGAATAAGGCTTTTGTTTTGGTCTTTTCTGAAAGATCATCCCACAACCTGAAGTCCATTATTAAAAGATCTCAGGCTGACTGAGGTCAATTATAGAATCATTAAGCAGATAAGGAGTTGATAACCTGTGACAAAATGCAACTCAGAACCCCAAATAACATGGGCAGTGTTAAGAGATGCTGGGAGATGGGACCATTTTTTTCAACATTTTTCATATTCCTTGATTAGAATATTGTTTTCTGCCTGATTGTTTATCTGGTGCTGATCTCTGCTTATCTCAATGTGGGCTGTTGTATTTTCATTTCCTCCCTAAGTTTTGTGGGTTTTTTGCTCTTTTGAATGGTCTGTAATGTAAACTCCACAGTTCATCCCTGAGCTAAATATATTCTCTTCTGTTGGAGATTTTTCTTGTAATTTGATACCTTCTTTAACCCAGTACCTTATGTGATTGCCTAATTTGCCTATGCTTTGAGCAATATGTTAATTATTAAATTTGGTTAATAATATTAATATTAGCAACAATAATAAACACTGCCCTAGTCTACAGATATGGAAATTCATTTCTGCCAAGTACAGATGGGGTCAGGACTGTCCCAAAAAATGCTGGAATAAAGCTTTTGTTTGTAGATCATTCCTCAATCTGATGTCCATTATAAAAAGATCTCTGGCTAACACAGATCTATTAGATATCCATACCATAGTGTAATTAATTAAGCAGATAAGAAGTAGAGAACCAGTGACAAAATACAAACCAGAACCCCAGATAACATGGACAACATTAAGAGATTCTGGGAAATGATCAGCAATTACCTGAAGGATTCAAGATTACTTCCTTCTGTGATACTGCTAATCCACAACAGGTTTTGAGGTTATAATAATGTTAGATGAATTGAGACTCAAGTCTGAGATGTAACCATTTTCTTCATGACCTTCCTTAAAGCCTGCTTGATATCTTTGTTCCTCAGGGTGTAGATCAAGGGGTTCAGGAGAGGAGTGACAAAGGTATATATAAGAGCCAGTTTCCGATCCTCATCTTCTGAAGTGGTGGACTTGGGACGCAGATACACAAGGCTGCAGACTCCGTATTGTAGGAGCACAACTGTCAGGTGGGAGGAGCAGGTGGAGAAGGCCTGGTGCCGTCCAGATGTAGACTTAATCCGGAGAATGGCAGCCACAATATAAACATACGAGATGCATATCAGAAGAAAGGGAACTGTTAAAACCATGATGCCAACACCATATAGTGCAGTTTGGTGGAGATGGGTATCGGCACATGCCAGCTTTAGCACAGGTGGTACGTCACATAGGAAATGATTGATCTTGGGTTTGTAACCACAGAAAGGCAAGCTAAAAATCAAGATGGTTAGCTGCAGACATAGCGCTATGGAAAGAATCAGGGAGCCAATCACCAGCCACATGCATACTTGCCAGGTCATGATGAGGGTATAGCGAAGTGGGTGGCAGATGGCTATGTAGCGATCATACGCCATGACAGCCAACATAAAACAATCAGTGCCTCCTAGTGTTGTAAAGAAGAACATCTGGATGGCACAGTTCACTAATGGGATTGTTCTGTGGAAATCAGAAATGCTAGCAAGCATCTGAGGTACTACCACAGTGGTATAACACATTTCCAGGCAAGAGAGGCTGGCCAGAAAGAAATACATTGGGGTATGCAGGGAACGGACAGTGCAGATAACCCAAAGGACAGAGCAGTTACCAAAAATGATTGTGAGGTAGAGCAAAAGAAAGAAAGTGAAAATAAGTTGTTGTATCTCAGGAACAGTGGAGAATGCTTGGAAGATGAACTCATGGGCCATGGATTGATTATCCCAGTTTGTAATTGTCAGATACATCTCATCTATCATACTAAAGAAAAAACAAGAATGAAAACCAGTTAAATAGTAATATGTATTTTTAAATGTTTCAAAAGCCAGGTCCTATGGACTGTATGATACTCAGATCTGATACATGAAATCTCAGTGCTTAATCCTGGACTTTTCACTTCTCTTCATCTCCTATATTAGGCTGTACTCAAGCAAATTCCAACACACCTGGAATATTATTTTTAGATGATTACAATGTCAATGGATTTTTCATGGACACATCCAGGAAATTTTTTTCAGCAAGGGAGTAAAAGTGGTTTGCCACTATCTTCTGGTTGTTTATAATTTCCTAGTTGCGCCTTGATTCTGTTTAGTGGAATCACATCCAAGTATTAATCATGCTTAGCTCTGCTTACATTTTTCAGCAGTCATATATGCCAAAATCAAAAAGCACAGTTATAGAATAGAGACCTAGCTTCTATGTACAATACAGTTTACAGGTATTACAGATTTAAACTACCCATCTATGCTGCCAGCTTTTGTGTTTTGAGTAGAATTAATTTTAAGATCTGTGAGAAATCTAAAAATTTATGAAAGTTTTAATGTAGGATTCTACTATTTGTGTTTCAGGGAAAAATAAAAAAATCTGGTGTAAGAAGAAGTGATTGGATGAACAGAAATGTGAAGCTGAATAATATTTTCAAGGAATAGAATAGCATTATATTTTCTGAAAAATTTCTGAAATAAAACAATTTCCACCCCATTGGCATATTCTCAGTTAATCTTTGCATTTCTACTTTAAAAGGTAAATTATTTATATAAAAATGGTATTGCTTCTAAATAGATATAATCTGTACGTTTCCAATATGAATTGCTAGGTCACAGTATTCTCGTAAACCTATAGCTAAACTGATTATATTATCCATTCCCCTTCTGCCTTTCTGACTGTTACAACAGATTTTAGCAGTGCTCAGAATGTCTTCAATATACACACTATGGTCTTGAACTGCTACTCGTTCATTGTCATTAAGAATGTAATCCAACACCATTATTTTGAAAAAAGTTCTGACTGTCAGCAGAATCAGTTCTGATTTTAGGAAGAAAAACATTTAATCAACAGCCAACTCTTAAAACCTTCCTATTTTTGCTCACTGCCTGCTACAGAATAATGCTGGAGATGGAATAAAAAGGAATGAAAATGAGTTAAAAGCAAAACTCCTGCATCTTTGAATGAAGCTGGAAAATCTCTGGCTGAAACCTGGGGAGCCGCTAGACATTCAGAGTCCACTCAACTCTCCCAGAAACAGACAAGGGATTCAGCAAAGCTAAATAATGTTGTCTTCTTACCTTGTAAGAGGCCTCTGATCCATGACTAGAAAAATAAAGGGGAATTCTCTTTTTCTTGATGATCTTTTCTGGCTCGAAAAGTCAAAGAGAAATAAAATTTAATCAAATGTCCATGAACAGATTGAAAAGTGATTTCTGGCACAGCTTTCTAGGAGAGTTATCTGTGAGTCCTTTTCTAGGATGAGTCCAGGTTACTTGCTAGATTGAATATAGTTGTCAGGTCCTTCTCAATTCATTGAATCAGAAATGGAAGGCAAGCAAAGGTAGACATCTATTCATAGCCACTATCTTTTCTCCAGCCAATCAATGTAGTCTTTGCCTTGTTGCAAGATATTATCCCCAGTAGACATGCCTAGTATTTGTTATTTTTTTAAAAAACAGTTCTCCTGTGGAATCTAAGTGTGACAAAGCTTTTAAAGAAGCAATAAAAACTTCAGAGGTCAAAGACTTCCAATAAATTCATTTCAGTATTCTATATATAAAGTTTTGGACCAACTGCGCTAAACAGGTAGAAGAATGATAAGATGCTGCTTCACATCTTTGTTGTTGTTGTTGTCCTCAATATTTTGAAAGCGATAATTTTGATAGTGAAAAGCTTCAAATGCCTAGTCAGAGAGAAAGTGTAAACCCTATAAATAAACATAGATTTAAACAGAAATTCATATAAATCATACTATAACTTATCCAAAGGTACAGTGGTGGGTTGCCCCAGTTTGGACCAGTTTGCAAGAACCAGTAGTAAAACTGACGGGAGGCCCTGCCCACCACCCCGGATGTCGTCATCAGCGATCTGCGCATGCGCAGAAGCAAGGTGCGTACGTGATCCCATTGCCAACCTGTGGTAAAGGTAAGTAGAACCCACCCCGGTACAAAATCAGAAATGAATTCTTGTAGAGCTATACAATCATGTGTACCGTAGCCATTGTTATATCCTGCAATATGACAGTGTTTATATAGTAATTAAAATTAAAACAGTTATTAACTAAGAACTGGCAAGATGTGAGTGAGATTTCAACAATCAATAAAAAGGGAAAAAGTCAGGTGTTCATCAGTTGTGATCCAGTGGACTTAGGGGAGGAAACTCAGGTGACTAACAGGGGATGATACATAGAAGCTGGAAAGGATATTCATGCTGAAACATGGCAGCCTCTGACTTAGCTGCCTTCATCTTGAGGTGATAGGATAAGCAACCATGGATAAGATGAAGACTACATCTATTTTGTTTTTGCATCATCATCAAAGATCAATAAACAGTATTGTAACAATGATACCAAAATCATTGTGAAGCGTATAAACATAATAGGATTCTGGATTTCTGAGGGATACATTCTGTAATGGGGAAATTTTCAGGACTGAAATCTACCATATTATATTGCTAAAGAATGAGAAAACAAAAAATATTTGAACCATTGAAGTGCACTGCCATTGACATCTAAGTAACCTAGACAGCAGTTACTGCTAGTCGTATGTGAAAACACCGCTGTGAGGTCCAAAAGGATGTAAGGCATTGGGACGTGACCACCAAAATATTCAGAATTCGTAGAAATGCTTTTGAATGGCTTGCACCAAATTCTGATTGATATGGAGAAGATTATAGTGCTAACTGTCAGTACTGAATTAATTAGTCTTACATTCAAGGGCCAGTCCAACTCAGTTCTATTACAAGTAGAGACCTACCCGCAATTTTGGGGGAGGAAAATAAGAAAAAAGCTGATTGGCAGGTGGATCGGCCTCCCGGAATACCCCCAATCAGCTATTTCCAGAGTTGAATTTTAGCAACAGGTTCCTTGGTTGTGAGCTCTGTGCCTTGCTTTTTTTCCTGCCTCTGAAACTTCTGAAACTCTGTTTCAGAAAAAACTTTTTTTCCTGCCTCTGAAAGCCTCCGAAACAGAGCTTCAGAAAAAAAGCCTCTGAAGTTCTGTTTTGGGGCTTTTTTTTCTGAAGCTCTGTTTGGGGGCTTCTTTTCTGAAGCTTCTTTTCTGATGCTTTTTTCAGCCTCTGAAATCTCCATTTGAGAAGATGAGCAGGGCTACATTCGGAGTATAAGATACACCTGGATTTTCACCCTCTTTTTTGGGGAAAAAAGGTTCATCGTATACTCAGAAAAATACGGGAATGTGTAGGTCATTCTATCTGTTTTTTTCTTTTTACATCTTTCTCCAGATGAGGAAGGAAGAAATGGGGAGATGTAGGGAATAGGCTTTAGTGAGGAAACTATTCTAGGTGAGGGGAATTATATTGACTAAACAATATTCATCAGAAAAGTGTATGGCCAAGAGAGGAAGCAATGATATGTAAGCAGCAGGTTCTAAAATTGTGAGAATGTATACATATCCCAATCTCATCTTCTTCTGTCTGGTGGAATTTACTCTTGGTCTACATGACCGACATGGTGGTTTGTGGCAACAAAAGCTGGGAAAGATAGACTACCCTTTGCAGTTTGGGGAATTGACTGCCTTGTAAGGCCAACCCTAGTAAGAACTACGTAAAGACAAGTGCAATCCATTATCTAAGAAATTCCTCATGACGATTGTAGAAAAAGATGGCACACCTTTGCAATTCAATGCTGTTAGAGACTTAAATTTTATTGTTAAAATGTAAGTATTTGAATAACAATCAACATACTGTAAATTAATTGAAGAAATTAATCAAATATTTTTTTCTTTTGGGTAAAGCAGGATTTGAAATTAGACTTACTACAATCAGGGTGTGAATGTGACGAAGTCAGAAGTACAGATCGCTTCATTTCAAACTCCAGGAAAATTCTACTGCACGAAATCCCAATATTCCTCTAAGGCAATACCTTTATTATTCTTGCCAAAAGCAAAGAAGCACACTCACAGACTACAGACCTAGCCTATCTGTACAAAATAGTGTTCAAAAATTTATGTGTAGTACAGATTTAAATCTCTCAGCATTTATGGTGCCAGCTTTTGTGTTTTGGGTAGAATTCATTTCAAGATGTGTGAGACGTAAAATGTAACCATTCTTTAAAAGGCAATAGCTTTATTATAGGTTTCTAATGTTCATGTCTCGGAGAAAACTGAAAAATCTGGTAGAAGAAAAATGACTGGATGAACAGAAATGCAATGCTGAAAACAATTTACAAGGAAAAGGATAGCATTCCATTTACTGAAAGGGAGTAATTCCTGAATTAGAACAGTTTCCACCCTTATTACTCTGAAAGATTAGACAGCATCCCTTATCGTATTCTCAGTTAATCTTTGCAACTTTCTCCTTTTAAAGCTATTACCTTGTGACTCGCTACCCTTTCCCGCCAAAACAAAGGATGACGTGTTGCGTGACGTGTTCGTCACACAATAGCTCTTGCCCTGTGTACATCCCCTTGCAATCTTATTTTAGCTTCTGTATATTTTTGTGTATTTTTGCACTTTTTTTTCATCAGTAAAGGTAACATGAAGTTTTTATTTAATTTAATTTATGTATTAATTTATGTATTTATTTCTCATATAAAGTAATCTAACTTTTTACATATTGCCTTAAAAATGTGCATTGTCTTTGGTTTGGGAACGCATTAAATTTATTTATATTATTCCTTATGGGAAAAATTGTGTTTGGTACTTGTCATTTTTGGTACTCATCATGCCTCTTGGAACCAATTAATGACGAGTACTGAGGTACCACTGTAATAATGTTACAGATGAATTGAGACTCAAATCTGAGATGTAACCATTTTCTTTATGACCTTCCTTAAAGCCTGCTTGATATCTTTGTTCCTCAAGGTGTAGATCAAGGGGTTCAGGAGGGGAGTGACAAAGGTATATATAAGAGCCAGTTTCTTATCCTCATCCTCCAAAGTGCTGGACTTGGGACGAAGATACACAAGGCTGCAGACACCATACTGTAGGAATACAACTGTCAGATGGGAGGAACAGGTGGAGAAGGCTTTTTGCCTCCCAGATGAGGACTTAATTCGAAGAATGGCAGCCACAATATAGATGTAAGAGATGCATATTAGAACAAATGGAACTGCTAAAACAATGAGGACAACAGTGTACAGTGTAGTTTGGTGGAGATGGGTGTCGGCGCATGCCACCTGTAGAACAGGTGGTACATCACAAAAGAAATGATTGATCTTGGGTTTGTAACCACAGAAAGGCAAGCTGAAAACCAAGGCGGTTAGCTGCAGACACATCATTATGGAAAGAATCAGGGACCCAATCACTAGCCATATGCATACTTGCCAGGTCATGATGAGGGTATAGCGAAGGGGGTGGCAGATGGCTACGTAGCGATCATACGCCATGACGGACAACATAAAACAGTCTGTGCTCCCTAGTGTTGTAAAAAAGAACATCTGGATGGCACAGTTCACCAATGGGATAGTTCTGTGGAAATCAGAAATGCTAGCAAGCATTTGAGGCACTATTACAGTGATATAACATATTTCCAAAAGAGAGAGGCTGGCCAGGAAGAAATACATGGGGGTGTGCAAGGAACTGACAATGTAGACAATTGAAAGGATAGAGATGTTGCCAGAAAGGATTATGAGGTAGAGCAAAAGAAAGAAAGTGAAAATAAGATGTTGTATCTCAGGAACAGTGGAGAATGCCTGGAAGATGAACTCATGGGCCATGGACTGATTATTCCACATTGATACTTCCAGATACATCTCATCTATCTCTGTAAAAAAAGGCAAGAAGAAAAACCAATGAAACAGTAATGTGTATTTCCATACTTTTCAAAGTAAAATCCTGTGGACTGTATGATATTGAAGTCTGTCATTCATGAAAACTCAGTGTTTAATTCTACACTTTTTATTCCCCTTAATCTCCTAATTTAGACTGTACCCAAGCAAATCCCAACATTTCCAGGAACTTTAGATGCATTATAATATCAATTATCCAAAACTGACCAAAGAGATATAAAGGGTAATATTTACAGAACTTGTATTATCAATAGGATACAAGCATCTCACCTGTTTTCCCTTCTGAAAACAAGTTTCTACTATTAACAGGAGTAGGTAACCTTTGAATGCAAAGGAGCCATTTAAAAGATAGCAATAGTCTCACAGATGGGTGAG